ACATGCACCATGAATGGCTTAATGAGAACATAACAAATTTTGTCACTGTTTGAAAGAATTCTTTAAAAAATATAATAATATATAATTCTATAATTATTAAAATTAGAATTATAAAATACTAATTAAATTAATAGTTTTCTTATATAACGGCAAGAACAAACGAGCATGCGGCTCAGCTGATGGTAAGTGATTACCGCCGCCCATGAGCACCCGCAACACCAGGGGAATTACAAGTACGTTGTCGGCCTTTTAAAAAGAAATAAGCTCTTTTCTTGAAGGTTTCAATATCGTATCGGTTTGGAAATACCATTGCTGGAAGGTGATTCCACAATGTGCTTGTGCGTGGCAAGAATTTTCTAGAAAACCGCACTGTGGAAGACCGCCATTCATCCAGATGATCAGGATGGTATTTTAGTTTCTGGCGGGTGGTGCGGTGGTGAAACTCAGCAGCTGCTATTAATCCAAACAATATTTCAGAACACTCTCCGTACTATTTGCGGTACAAAATACATCGAGATACCTCGCCGCAAAGTTAATAGGTCGAGTCTATAACAAAGACGTTGATTACCAATGATTCTGGCTGCTCAGTTCTCAATGCGGTCAAATATTGAGTCTGCGTTCTGAGTGGTAAATAAAAAAAAAATGTCTATCCAAAAGTGCTTATATTAAGTTTATTTGAATAAAAAAAAAACAATTTCTATAGACTTTAAATTACTTATATTGTAGTCTATGATTATTTAAAAGTGCTTACAATACGTTTATTTGAGTAAATATTATTATTATTTCTATTTAATGGAAGTCACTTATACTTATTATATTTTTTCTTTCTTTGTAGTGCTCAGTATAAGTGACTTCCATTAAATAGAAATAATAATAATAATCTCCGCTCAGAGATGAACATTATTCCATGTGCGGCCGGATCTGTGCCTTGTATAATTGCAAGCGATGGGCCGCCGTGAAATACCGTATCTTCTGCAATTTAAAAATACTATATAATTAGTAATAGAAAATCAAAGTAGTGGTCGATAAATAGAATTTCTATTCATTACATCCACGCATTAAACAGCTAATGAATATGTACCGAAAAAAAACAAACAAATGTTATGCTAATTTATGCTATTTCCAATAAAATGCTTATATATTACCACATTTATATGTTATTATAAAGCCCTAAACACACAAAGCGGTAAAATTTATTTATCACTATTTGTTAGCCGCGATTTCGTCTGTACTAAACTTTCATCCCCTATTTCACCCATTTCCAGACGGCTTTGTTTATAAAAGAGCCCCCGTCCGCCCGCACGAGATAATATTGTTTCGCTCCAAATTTACGTATGTAGGTAATAGTAAAATTTGCTATATCAAAATTATAATTGTAATAATTTACTCTCACAGAAAGGGTAGTCAGATGTTATCAAGTATGACTATCGTAGTGGACACAACCCTTGACACGCATTGTTCTAACGACAGCTACCTTTTACCATCGCACCGCTCGCCATCGACAGGGAATTCATCCCCACACGCTAGAACCTGTGGTCTCGGACAGTGCTGTTTCAGAGGAGCTTCCTCCCGCGTACACTTAGTTTATTGAAACTACCTGCCGAGATTTTCTCGAAAGATTACAGCATAGGGTTTTTCAAGAAGGGTATATTAATTCTTATTATCTCTATTGGGTTGACTGGAAGAGATCTCTTTTAGAGATAAGTCCTCCTTTGTTAACATTAGCTGTAATTAATATACTTACAAATGTATTTAAGTGCAATAAAGAATATTTATATTAGGGTTCCTTAAGGGTCGGCAACGCGCACGTGATATCCCTGGTGTTTTAGGCGTCTATTGACTTCGGTAACCATCCGACGGGTCGTATGCGTGATTGCCAATCCGTGGTATAACAAAATCATTTTTCGCTGTAAGTATTTGAGTCCACTCTACTGCTGTATATTGGATTCATTTTAATTTCGTTATATATAGAGCAGGTATGCAATATATTCACACAATACACAGACGAGAACAGTATACCATATGGTATACTGTTCTCATGACAGACTCGACCCATTGTCTCTGCGGCGCGATATTGCACTTCTGTACATTTTCTACCGCATATTACCGGCGAGTGTTCTGAGGAATTATTCGGATTAGTACCAGCTACAATATTGTGTTATACTATTTAATTGTATATGTACTACGAACATAAGTTGAAAAAAAAACTGTGTAAGTTGTAGAATTTCGTCAGCTTAAAAACGTAAATTAACAAAAAAAATTTTTGTTCGTGACCTTTAAACGAGATTATTTTTATTTAATAGTCTGAGAAAGATGCGAAATTATTCAACGAGTGTCACGTGACATATGAATAAATAAACAGATACCTCTTAAAACCTACTAAAAGTGTGCCTCGAGTATTCAACAGAAAAAAATTGAGTGTGTGCTTGACGCGTAGTCTATAGGGTTTATTTTATATATAATACATATTTATATACTAATATTAAAAATGCAAAAGTGTATCTGTATGTCCGTTTGCATCTTTACTACTTTTCAAATACTAAGCAGCTCAACCTTAATAAAATCTTACATCCTCTCCGATCGATCCCTCGTCCAAATCAAATGGGGATCGAAATTACGACGGCCTGAGCCGAGGTTCGAACCCCTAGCGGTGCCCTCAGACTAAAGTGGTATCCGTCGGGCGGGAGTTGGCCTTCAGCCCCCTATCGTCCAGTGAAGCTGTAAAGGCCAGCTGTGAACAACAGCATTAGAATAGTTTGAAAAAAAAATAAAAGTAAACTTACCTGAAGATACAAAATAAGATATGCAAAAGGTTATCTTTTGCATCAGAAATTTGAGAAATCATGTGTCATGAAAATACAGCCTAATCATCAATAATTAAAAAAAAATTGGATGGGGTTGCACTAAGTGACCACAGTTTCGGGTGGAAGATTCTTTGATCTTGAACTGAGAGGTACACCGTCAGATTTTTAGTCGGTAATAGTATGACCACATCCATTCGACGATTATAACGGATGGGCCATCCATGATGGATTTTCCTGATATAAAAAAAGAGAACGAATGTTTGTAAGTTTGTCCAGACAACGTCGCGTCTAACTGCAAGTTATGTCTAAGCACTGACTCAGATTGAAGTGGTTTATTTTTAAATCCCTTACATGTAGGATAAAGAGAGCCGGAGGAAAATCTACTTTATATATTAATGTAGGCGAAATTCACTCAAAGGAAATCTAACTTATCCTATTTATTTTATTTTTAATATTTTGATACGCAGGTTTAGTATTTAATGTATTTATATTATTTTATTTAATTCCACTACAATTAGTATGTGTTACATCACAAATTAGTAATTCATTTTATGATAATTGCGTAAGATTCTATAATAAACTGCCAGAATCTACGCTAAATCTGACAGAGAGGCAATTCAAATTTTATATTAAACAAATGTTATGTAAAAAAGCCTATTATAGGATAGATGAATTTATAGATGATAGCAATATATAGTAAGTATAAGTTGGTTTGCGGACAACGTAATAATTTGTTAGTCATACTGCTTTCTTGATAGCGTAGCGGCTTTTGTATTGATTGCCCCATGCATCCTCATGTAAAGTATCAATACTGTAATTACCATATAGTAATTTTAAGTAGTTGGGACGTGGTCGAGTGGAATGAGTAGTCATGCTCACTAAAATGTCCAGACATGTGGCGGCGTGGTCAAAATATGGTCGAGCTCAGTGATGGCTGGCTCATCCGTCATACTCGTGAACGAGTGCTGCTTGTAGGGACTGGTCTCCTCTTATCACTACGACTGATTAAATCTTATTGTGTTTTTATATTTGAGCCTAAATAAATTAGTGCTAATTGGTAGTTTGTATTCACACGTTTCGACTTGTAAAATGTGAACTTACAAGGATTGTTTAAAAGAGCAACAACAATATAAATTTAATGATTTTATTGCCATATGGCATTCTCTACAATTGCGTAAGGTTTTACAATAAAATACCAGAGTCTGTTATAAATCTGCCAGAAAAAATATTTAAATGTCAAATAAAACAGTTCCATTGCAAAAAAGCTTACTATAAAATTGAAGAATTCGTTAACGATAATAATGTTTTTATAGAAAAACTTTAAATCCATAGCACTGACAATATTATCTGATTACATTAATAATGAGTGCGTAGCGACTTCTATGTTGATTATCGCATGCCTCTTACTTGTTACACTGTAATTATTTATATAAAAAAACATCTATTAAAAAGAGAAACACACAAGTTTCTTGCTCATTCTTCTTGTGATGAATCTGCATTCCGAATGAGTGGTAGAATCAAATATGACTATTCAAAAGTGCTTGTAATGAGTTTATTTGAATAAAGAATATTTCTATTTCTACCAGCTAACAATTAGGTAAGAACAGAAAGCGGTTGATTGGCAGTGGTGGGAAAGGACTAACTTATAGTTTTACCTAACATAGATAAATAGGTCTTTAAAAATACTTACAAATATACATACATAAATATAAATATATACCTACTATAATATATAATATATATAATAATAATAATAATCTTAGAACAATTCACACAGTGCCATCTAGACCCAAGTTAAGCTAGCTAAAGCTTGTGTTATGGGTACTAGATAACTGATACAAATACATAGACATTTTTTTTTCGTAAATACATACATATTATACACAGAAAACACCCAGGCCGATACAAACAAGCATACTCATGAATACAAATGTTTGTGCCGTGCGAGGAATCGAACCCGCGACCATCGGTCGTAAAGCGGTGTACTAGACCGCTGGACCACCGAGGTCGGCAAATATATATGGTATATCCAATAAAGATATTGTAGTAAATGAACGAACACGAATTAAAAAGTGGCAGCTCAACCGCTCATTGCCCGCTGGGTGTGCCACAACCTTTATCTTTAAATATAAACTAATAGAATATGAAATGCGTTGTTAGTCGCCATTGGATCACCACACGGACAGTACCCGGAATATGGCTCCTACACCTCAAGAGACGGCCTTCGAGCAGGTCCCCCCCAAGGAGACCGTGCACAGACCCTTGACTGGAAATGAAGTCGTTATCAGTGGGATATCGGGGATATTTCCCAAGTCTAACAGCGTCCTGGAGTTTATGAACAATTTATACAATAAGGTTTGATAAATTTTTTTCTGACTACTTTTTTGCTGTTGGCCGCAGCTGGCCTTTACAGCTTCACCGGACGTTAGGGGGCGTGTGCAGGGACGTGGAGCGGCTGAAGGCCAACTCCTGCCTGACGGCTACGACTTTAGTCTGAGGGCACCACTAGGTGTTCGAACCTCGGCACAGGCCGTCGTAATTTCGATCCCCGTTTCATTTGGACGGGGGATCCATCGGAGTGAATATGAGATTTCGTTAAGGTTCAGCTGCTTAGTATTTGAAAAGTAGTAAAGATGCAAACGGATATACAGATATACAGGTTGGCCTTTAGTCGCTCCATAAGTCTTGTGGGTTTAGGGTGCCATCTCTTTAAACCCACAGGACTTATGGAGCGACTGAAGGCCAACCTTCAGTCCTGCCTGATACGATACGACTTTAGTTTAACGCCACCGTAAAGATTTCGAACCCTGGCTCAGGCCATCTTAACTTCGATCCTCGCTTGAATTAGATGGCAATCGATCTTGATCATTTTAGGATATATTTATCTAAGCAATCCTAAACTGGAAGATGGGTTATTGGTTTTTTTCTTATTGGATTAGTATGGAATGGTACACCGGATTGTGTTAATGGTATGACGGTAACTGTCTCGCTAATGTATACCGTTAGAGCAATCGGGATCACCATTCTGGTATGTAGTGTTTTAAATTTGACGCGTCATTATTTATATGTATAACTAGCTGTACCTGCGACTTCGTTCGCGTGGAATTTAACTTTATTTTTCTAAAATAAAGGTAACCTAAGTTACTCCATATTACATCAACAACCATCCAATAAAAGTCCCGTCAAAATCGGTCCTGCCATTTCAGAGATTACCCAGAACAAACAGACAGACAAACAAAAATTATAAAAATGTTATTTTGGTTATACCGTATTTATATTCATATGCATATAGTAAAAAACGGTTATTTCAATATCACAAACAGACACTCTAATTTCATTTATATGTATAGATGTATAGATTAAACGTCATTAACAATGTTACTTACCTACTTTTTAAAAAAAATCGTTAATACAATAAAATAGTTATCAAAATTAATATTATAAATTGCGAAAGTCATTTTAATATACTTTAGTATCTTAACGGTTCAATTTAAAATGAAATCTGACAGATACTTACGATTAGTAAATCACGGGATCTTACAACATTTTATTTTTATTTAGTTTCTAATATTTCGGCAGTGTTTCAACCGCCATGATCACGTGTAAAACATTCCAAGGATGGTTCGTTAAGAAGAAACTAAGTATGATAATATTGCTAAGATACAAAGTTTATCTTCGTAAAATTTATTAACAGGTGGATATGGTGACCACAGAGAATCCGCGATGGATTTTCAACCACCCTGAAGTACCTAAGCATTTGGGAAAGGTAAACGGAATGGGAAAGTTCGACGCTCAGTTCTTCCGGGTCCACTTCAAGCAAGCCTGCACCATGGAGCCGATGAGCAGGAAACTTCTGGAACACGCGTACAGCGCCATCTATGATTCTGGTTGGTAATCAACGATATCCGACTATAATTAATATAAATTCTTAGTTTACATTACATGTTAAAGACACTTGTATGTATGTTAAATACATAGTAATCTGCGATCTATGCTCAAGGGTGGTCCAGTGGCGATGGAGATGTGTGTGTGTGTGGTGTGTAAGATGGAGTGGTAGTGGATATGGTCGTGGGTTCGATTCCTCACACGGTACAAACATTTGTATTCATGAGTATGATTGTTTGTATCGGTCTGGGTGTTTTCTATGTATATTATGTATTTATTTACAAAAAAAAATACGTCCATGTATTTATATCAGTTGTCTAGTACCCATAACACAAGCTCTGCTTAGCTTGGGACTAGATGGCTCTATGTGAATTGTCCTGAGATATTATTATTATTATTATCTGAGTATTTTTTTTATCAATCTGATATATTTTTATGCATCATTTAAAAAATATTAACATTCTGCATTTTTTCTCTGTATAAACTACGAGTATAAGTGTGCGAAATTTCATATTCCTCAATCCGCTCAATTTTCATAAAAAACAGTGAATCGAAAGTGTTCGCTTCGCGTTAATTTATCCCCTTAGGTGTGGAATTTATCAAAATTCTTTCTTAGAAGATGCCTACGTCATAGTAGCTTTATGCATGCAAAGTCTCAGCCCGATCGGTTTAAAATTGACAAAGTTTCATACAAACTTTCACCCCCTATTTTATCCCCTTGGGGGTAGAATTCATCAAAATCCTTTCTTAGCGGATACCTACGTCATAACATCTACCTGCATGCCAAATTTTAGCCCGATCCGTCCAGTGGTTTGAGCTGTGCGTTGATAGATCACTATGTCAGTCAGTCACCTTTGAGTTATATATATTTAGATAAAAAAAAATGCTAGCATTCTTCACATCTTCTCTGTAAAAACTATAAGTGTGCGAAATATACATCTCAATACGTGCAATTTCCGTAAAAAAGCGTAGAAAGTTTTTGCCTCACGTATCAATATCATGATTAATTGGCTCCTAACTCGAATAATTTCAACTGCACCTTTAATTGCACGATCCGTGGTCACTTCGTCAAGAGACTTATTCTGTTTACGGATAAATAAATAGACATAAAAACACGGATCACACTTAACTTTTTAGGGATATTATTGAGATAAAAATACAGCAATTTTAATGATTTAATATTGACAACAGACCGGTTTTTAACTATAAAGTGCTATTGGATCAAGGTACCCACAAAAATTACTCTATATCAACGTAATAGAACCGAAAACTCAGTGACATAAAAACCGCTACATATACTGTGCGGTTTTTACAAAGGTAACGCTAAGTAAGCTTCACTTAAAATTTTGAATTTTGTTTTAATCTAATTCAACAAACAGACAAGTCATAATTTATTATTATTCCCAGGATTACAGGTACAAAGTCGGGACTTAGCTAGTATCTAACATACTTGTACTAATACAATTTTCTCTTTTTATTTTATTCCTTTTTTTTATTTTCTCTGTTTATTTTATTTAATTTTTATTGAATCAACAATTGTGTTTTTATGAAATAACAGTATTTTCTATGCATAATATGTATGTCACTACGAAAAAAAAAAATCTATGAAGTTGTATCAGTTGTCTAGTATCCGTAACGCAAGCTCTAGTTAGCTTAACTTGGGACTAGATGGCGCTGTGTGAATTGTCCTGAGATTATTATTATTATGAAATCAAATTAAAATATCTTAATTCGTCTGATATGTCACATCTACTCTACTCGCTGATCTGTAATAGTTAATATTCATCTGGAAATTCTTTTGTGGACTCCCGCGATACAGGTTCGCTTAGTGCGGAGTCCTAATATTTGTACGTTTGAAAACAAATGTATAAATAAAAAAAAATATTTAGATACAAATCAATGTACTAAATGGATACTGAATAGTCATAGAATAAATATTTAAGTGAAATATCAAGTATATTTATTTATTTTATTTATAACACTTTATTGCACCAACATATAAAGGACATGAACAAATTTAAAAACATAAAAAAGAAACTAAGTACAAAAGGCGCTAATGCAATCTCTTACAGACAACCTCTGGAAAGAGAGTGTTTACAAAAAAAATAGAGTAGGTGGCACATTAGTGGAAACATAACAATATAGTACATACACAAATTTACATATATATACATACATATGAATACTTAATAATATAGTATACATCAAATAATTATACATAATCAAATATTATACATATAAACCCGAAAAAAAAAACATCATACTAGTTATAATGTCACAGTGTAGAAGGAAACATATTTACAAAGAGAGAAAGCAGGACTTGACTAAATGCTTAAAAATGGCTGAATAATTAGAATTAAAAACATATTTTCTTCTATTTTTTATAAACTATGTTTTTTATTTTAGGTATTAATCCCCTTCAATTGCGTGGTTTGAAAGTGGGAGTGTTCATCGGATCGACCTTCTCCGAATCTGAGAGAATTGTCATTTATGAAAATGTACAGCGCAACGGTTTCGGCATCACCGGGTAAGTTCTATGTAATTCATCATCAACTGCTTCTTCCTTATCCCATTTATTTGGTCGGCGTAATATGTTTTTCTCTTCCATTCATCCCTGTTCAGTCATCTTGTTATTTACTCCCTTTCTTAAAATATCATCTTTCACATAGTCCATCCATCTCTTTTTCTGCCCTTATAACCAAGGTAAGTTCTATATAAATCTGGTGTCACATTATCAGGGTCATTGTTCACAACGCAGTTCTATTGGCTCGTTCAAAAGAGGGCGGGGCGTAGCCGGTAATGTACCAATAAACGGGCACGCGCCGTTCGATTCTTACCGAAAATGTAAGGGCACACTTACATTTTTGGTATTAAAGTGGTAAATAAAGTATCTACTTAATATAAGTATATATTAATAAACTTATATAATATGGTATATTGTGATGTGCGTTGTGTAATAAATGGTTATAATTAGAGAGGGGATTGTTGATAACGGGTACTAGCATTGCCTTTCCTATCAATGTACCATGTCAAAGTGTCTCCATGAGGTCGTTCCTGGAAAGCATCGTGGTAAAATTCCTGATGGACTCACCTACTACGACTGAGACGTTGTCTGGTCGCCGAACAGTCAAACCTAGTTTTCCAAACTGTATATATTGCCTGATGATGCCTCGTTCAAAGGCGAAACGTGTCCCAATAAGGATATAGATCCAATAACGGTCGGAATTCGATCACTAATTCAGAACACTTTAAATGACGTTTCTAGTAACGGTGATCAGGTTTCCGCACTAAATGTTTGTGGTCTCACACATGCTAATGGTAGCGAAATTAAACAAAATAATATAAATACATTAAGCGATGTAATTTTATTTTTTATTCATTTATTTGATGCAACTAGTCCCATATCACATACCTTATAAACTAACATAGATATAATTTAATATGGGCTATGAACTTCCGCAATGGTAGTGGAATAGAAACTAAAAGAAATACATTAAGCAATGACATAGGCTAAGGACTACCGCAAAAATAACATGTAGTTCTGTGAAATATAATTGAATCTTGTTACAGATCTAACAAAGCTATGTACGCGAATCGTATTTCCTATTGGATCGACGGTAAGGGACCGTCGTATGCATTGGATGTGGGATGCGGTAGCTCCATGGCGTGCCTGGAGTACGCATATAAATCAATCAGCTCGGGACAGTGCGACGCAGCTATAGTCGGAGGCTGCAATCTATGTATGCAGCCCACCATCTCTCTGAACAATAAAAGGTACATTATTTTTCAATTCAGACAATCGCGTTTAGTACTAATGTTATAAAGCTAAAGAGTTTGATTGTTTGTTTGAACGCGCTAATATCAAGAACTACTGGTTTGATTTGATAAATTCTTTCTGTGTTGGATTACATTACGCTGCGACCAATAGGAGCGGAGCTGCAATGAAAAATATTGCAAAAGGTGGGGAAATTAAACGCAGATGAAGTTGCACTGGTCAGCTAGTTATTAATATAGTTTAAACCTTTTCGTTTTACGAATCTGTGAGTAATGTATCTCACAATTTTTCGTCGGATGATCTAATGACGTTAGTTGAATAAACTGCCTATATACTTATATGCTTAGCATTTTATTTGTAAACTAGCCTTCGCTTACCTTAATTTATCCCCTTAGGGGTGGAATTTATCAAAATCCTTTCTTAGGGTATGCCTACGTCATAGTAGCTTTATGCATGCAAAGTCTCAGCCTGATCGGTTTAAAAACAAACTTACATCCCTTATTTTATCCCCTTGAGGGGTAGAATTAATCAAAATCCTTTTTTAGCGGATGCCTACGTCATAACATCTACCTGCATGCCAAATTTCAGCCCGATCCGTCCAGTGGTTTAGTCTGTGCGTTGATAGATCACTATGTCAGTCACCTTTGAGTTATTTAGATAATAATACTAGCTGACCCCTCAAAAGTTACTTTGCCATGTAAATTAAAATCACTATTAAACAATAGCAATTGGTCTACTACCAGGGTGAAAATTTAAGACTATATGTATGTTTAATGCCACATTATTAAAATAAAAAAAAAATTGTAACAAAATTCTTTGGGGTGAGTCAACCTTAATAACACTTAGTATAAAAATAGTTATAAACCTATTCTCAGACCTTCTAAATATACGTATAAAATTCATCAAAATCGGGCAAGCTGTTTCGGAGGAATAAACAATAAACACGAAACTGTGACACGAGAATTTTATATATTAAATTTTTTATCTCCTTTCAGAGCTGGTTTTCTATGTATGGATGGAAAAAGTAAATGCTTCGACAAGAACAGCGACGGTTATGTGAGGTCGGATGCAATTAGCGTATTATTTTTGCAGAAAGCTAAACACGCAAAGAGGTAATTTTGTTTTATTTATGTAGGTATATTTAAATATTTGATTAATTCTTCATTAGAATAGAATAGAAAATCCTTTATTCAAATAAAATTTAAGCACTTTTGAATAATCATAACATTTTTTAATCTACCGCTCATTCGGAAAGCTGTCTCATCACAAAAAGAACAAGCAAGGAACTTGCGTGTTGCTCTTTTAAATAATCCTTGTAAGTTCACATTTTTCTAGTCGAAACGTGTGAATATAAACTACCAACTAGCACTAATTTATTAAGGTCAAATATAAATACACAATAAGATTAAATTATTATTTTGTTTTATTAGTTAGTTCTGTTAAAATTATTTTTCGTTAGTTCTGTTAAATTATAATTATATTTCTAAAATAATTAATTCATTTAATTATTTTAGAAATATGAAAGCGTAGCGGTGTTTGTATTGATTGCCGCATGCATTCTTATGTAAAATGTGAATACTATAACTACCAGATGGCAATTGTAAGTAGCTTGGACGTAGTCTAGTGTTTTGAGTAGTCATGCTCACTAAAATGTCCAGACTTGTGGCGGCGTGGTGGGCCGGGTCATTGGGCTCCCTAAAATATGGTCGAGCACAGTGATGGCTGGCTCATCCGTCATACTCGTGAACGGGTGCTGCTTGTAGGTACTGGTCCGCTCTAATCACTATGACTGATTTCCTCTTATTAATTGGTTAATCAGTTGGTTATATATTCAATATTTTTTCTATTTGAGTATTTAATTGAATTAGTGCTAATTAGTGGTTTGTATTCACACACTTAAACTTGAAATGTAAAGTAATAATAAAATTATTTAAAAGAGCAACTCGCAAGTTTCTTGCTCGTTCTTCTTATGATGAGACAGCTTTCCGAACTGTAACGAAATGTAATGACGATTCAAAAGTGCTTCAAATTAAGTTTATTTGAATAAATGATTTTCTATTCTATTCTATTCTTATTGCTTCAACATATAATTATAAATTTTCCTTTTGAATGAATTTCAATTTGTTTATTCGTTACAGAATTTATTCAGAAGTGTACTATGCAAAGGGGAAATATGGTTTGAAGGGAACTGAAAATTTTTGCGCTGTCCGCGACCCACAAGAGATACAAGAGTTTTTGGAAGCTTTCTACTCGTCTATTAACGTGTCGCCGAAAGATGTGGAATATATAGAGGGCCATGGATCTGGTGAGATTTTTTTTTATATATCTTATCTTATCTCGCACAACCACATTGTGGAATCACCTTCCAGCAATGGTATTTCCGAACCGATACGATATTGATACTGTCGTTTTTTATCCTTTAAACAAAACAAACTGTTTGGCGACTGATATAGACGATAAATATACAGGTCTCTATGGACATAACTTTGAAGTTTACACCGTTAAAATTAAATTTTTACTAGCAGACCCGGCCACGCCTTGCTGTGGTTACGGTTAAATAATATTGCGACTATAAATTGAGATGCAAGCTATTCTATCTTTCAAGTTGGATTAAAATGCACACAACGTGCAAATCAAATTTGCAATCGGTTCAGTAGTTACGGAGTCCATCGCGGATAAACAACGCGGATAAGACACATAATTTTTAATAATAATAATAATAATAATCTCAGGACAATTCACACAGCGCCATCTAGACCCAAGTTAATCTAACTAAAGCTTGTGTTATGGGTACTAGTTAACTGATACAAACACATAGTTTTTTTTTCGTAAATACATAAATAATATACATAGAAAATACCCAGGCCGATACAAACAATCATACTCATGAATACAAATGTTTGTGCCGTGGGAGGAATCGAACCCGCGACCACCGGACGTAAAGCGGTGTGCTACCGCTAGACCACCGAGGTCGTCACATATAACGTCGTTTTATATATAAAGATTATAAATAGTAGTAGATATGACACGGATTTCTTCAAAGTCTTCCAGTGGGAGACTATAAACAATCATCCGCTCGGATACCTCTTGTTTTACAAGCTGCATTCCGGTTTAATGGGTGAGATACGGCAGTTCAATTTCGATGCATGAATGCAAAATTGATACTTTACTTTTCAATAAATGTAGTTTGGAGTATCCGTGATTCTTTTAATGTATATAAACGATGGTTTTATCAATTTCCGTCTGGAGGGTTTTAAAATAGTTTGGGATTTCTGTTATCTAACTAATATTATAAACGTGAAAGTTTGTGAGTATGGATGAATCGATGAGAGGATGGATGTCTGTTACTCTTTCACACAAAAACTACTGAACGGATATATATATATATATATATATATATATATATATAAATATCCCCTTGGGCACTTTGTGGCTCAGACGTGCCGTATAGGTAGTTTTTTGTTGATCCTTTTTCACTTGTTGATCCGGAGGCCTTTTGTTGATCTAATGCCAGCTGACCATATATAAATGTTGATCCCTTTTGAGCCACAACTGACACGACGAGTAATAATAATAATTAAGCGATTTATACACGATTTTATACAAATCCACCTTTTTGGCATACGAGCAGTTCTTGATCCAATTCAAACGGGCCAATCAGGGTGCAGCATTTGCCAAGGGCTTCCTCATTGGCACGTTTGGGCTACTACATTATGGCTACAGTAACTTAATAATGTCTAGCTAGTATTTCAAGAATAATAGTCTATCTAATCTAAATATTTATAGAAATCAGTCTGGAGTAACGTGACTCCAGATCAAACCTCAATACTTATTATTTTTTGGACGGGAATCTTTTCTTTTGTAACAAAGTTACTGAGCGAATAAAGAGAAGACGCAACGGCGGATCCAGGGGGAGCGTCATGGAGGTCATGGGAGTCATGGGGGCGTCATGACTCTCCCCCCCCCTTAGCCCAGGACTTAGGTAGGCCACTAATTGAACTAAAAAATAATGAAACAGCAAATTTTTTTGCACGATCGGAGTGTTGGTGCAGTAGTATTAATTATAATTAAACATTGTTACTTAAAACATAACAGTTAAAGTACTATAACACTAAAAGCAAAATAGGTATTTTCAAAATACTTTTTCAAAATAAATTACCCTTTGAGTTTTTGTCTAAACCTCAGATATTTTATTTATTTTAGGTATATCAATCATTACATAGTATAGTATAAAACAAAGTCGCTGTCGCATCTAACAAGTACATAAATAAAGAAAGAAGACTTTTTGGCTCTGAATATATTTCAAACATCAATTACTTGTGTTAATCAATTTATATACTCGTTCTTATTTCATAGTACTTGTTTTGATCCGAATATATACAGATACCGTAACGGTCTATTAATTATGAATTTATTATACCTAACCTAGATATTTTATTTTGACGAAACTCCGTGTAGTAGTAGTATCCGATAAGGGTATGCGAACCCTAAGTATTATTTCAAAATGACCAGTAATTTCGAAGAAATAAGCCTTTGAATTTCAAATCAACTTACCAAACGGACGCTCAAGGTTCGATTCCCGCCACCGATTTTTTTTTGTTATTTTTTTTTTTTGTCTTTATTCTAATTTTAAATTAACTATTTTAATAATTAAATGAATTTAATCGAACAAAACGTTGTTAAGTATTCAATTAATTTTAATTTACATTACCTATTGTACTTTCTAAATTGTAAAGCAGCTAACAATTATAGTGAGATCTTATAAATAACTAACACAACAAGTAAAACATTTTAAATGTATTTTCTTTATTATTACAAATATTTTTTATGCATAATATAATAGTTAATATCTAATAAATACATAATGATCTGATAATCAAATTATAAGTACAGTCTCAAATTGAAAGTAAGAAAAACAGAAAATATAGAGAGAACTATAGGGATATAACAGAAAGATGTGAAAAATGGAGAAGGACAGTAAAAAAGTTACAAATTTAAATAATGTTGCCGCAATTTCTGTTTAAATGAATTTATTACATTATTATATATATTAGGCATACGACTAGCCTTATGACTGTTACTTTTTTTTTAATCTATACATCTATACATGTAAATAAAATTGGAGTGTCTGTTTGTAATATTGAAATAACCGTTTTTTACTACTTGCATATGAATATAAATACGGTACATACACCAAAATAACATATTTTACAAGTTTTGTCTGTCTGTCTGTCTGTTTGTTCCGGCTAATCTCTGAAATAGCTGGACCGATTTTGACGGGACTTTTTTTTGGCAAGTAGCTGATGTAATAAGGAGTAACTTACGCTACTGTTATTTTAGAAAAATAAAATAAAATTTCACGCGGACGAAGTCGCGGGAATAGCTAGTGTATAATATATTAGAGATACCTACGTGTTTTTTTTATTGATGAGTAGCTGTACACGGGATTTAGTTCGTGTGGAATTTAAATTTATTTTTCTAAAATAAAAGTAGCCTAAGTTACTCCTTATTACATCAGCTACCTGTCATTCTTAATATTGAAATAATAGTTTTTGTCTACGAGCATATGAATATAAATACGGTACATATACTAAAATTTATTTTTATACAATTTTTGTCTGTCTGTCTGTCTGTTTGTTCCGGCTAATCTCTGAAATAGCTGGACCGATTTTGACGGGACTTTTTTTGGCAAGTAGCTGATGTAATAAGGAGTAACTTACGCTACTGTTATTTTAGAAAAATAAAATAAAATTTCACGTCGCTGGGAAGTCGCTGGGGCCAGCTAGTCTATAGATATACCGAGATTTAATATTTAAGTTGCTATTATGTTGTTGACAAAATTTTACTGTAATGTTACTATTACGTTATCCTACACAATTTGTATTATTTTGGATGAATAAATAAATAAATAAATAATAATCTATACATCTATACATACAAATAAAATTGGAGTGTCTGTTTGTAATATTGAAATAACCGTTTTTTACTACATGCATATGAATATATATAAGGTACATATACCAAAATAACAATTTTTATAATTTTAGTCTGTCTGTCTGTCGGTCTGTTTGTTCCGGCTAATCTCTGAAATGGCTGGACCGATTTTGACGGTACTTCTTTTTGGCAGGTAGCTGATTTATAAGGAGTAACTTAGGTTACTTTTATTTTAGAAAAATAAAGTTTAATTCCACGCGGACGAAGTCGCGGGAACAGCTTGTTTTTAATAAAAACATCTTTTTTGTGGTACTTGAGAATGTTGAAGCCTGTTGTTTGTAATATTGAAATAACCGTTTTTTACTACTTGCATATGAATATAAATACGGTACATAATACACCAAAATAACATATTTTACAATTTTTGTCCGTCTGTCTGTTTGTTCCGGCTAATCTCTGAAATGGCTGGACCGATTTTGACGGGACTTTTTTTGGCAGGTAGCTGATGTAATAAGGCTACTACCTAGTAACTTAGGCTACTTTTATTTTAGAAAAATAAAGTTAAAAACCACGTGGACGAAGTCGCGGGAACAGCTACTGTATAATATATTAGAGATACCTACGTGTTTTTTATTGATGACTAGCTGTACACGGGATTTCGTCCGTGTGGAATTTAACTTTATTTTTCTAAAATATAAGAAGTTAAATTCCACGCGGACGAAGTCGCGTGTACAGCTAGTTGTCGGTAGTCTAGCGATTTAGCTAGCACACTGCTTTGATTCCTGCTTGGTGGTCGAGGGTTCGATTCCTCGCACGCTGCAAACATTTGTATTCATGAGTATGATTGTTTGTAACGGTCTGGGTGTTTTCTATGTATAGATAATATATATGTATTTACGAAAAAAAATCTTTGTATTTATATCAGTTGTCTAGTACCCATAACATAATCTTCAGCTAGCTTAATTTGGGTCTAGATGAAGCTGTGTGAATTGTCCTGAGATTACTATTACTACTATAATAAATCTTTTCAAATCAGCCGATGTTTATTTTTGCCATAATACGTGCTGTTACCATGTGATAATATTACGTACGTACTTATTAAACTATTAACTTATTATTAAATTATTAACTATTTATACTGTTTTAAATGTGATGCGTTCATTATTTATATTTCCTTTGAATTAAAGACAAATGTATATATATATATATATATACATTTATATAAACTTGCACACTTAGTTGATCCAGCCACGATCCGTAGATATTGCTGATTCCACTGTCTCTCTCTTTCTATCACTATCTTTGTATTCTAATATGCGATGTTGCCGTTCCGGCATGGTCTCGGCCGGAACGGCAACATCGCATATGTTG